GGGTAGGTGTTAGTAGTCCTACTATAAGTCATGTCTCAAACCAGGAGGCCCTGAGAGGAACATGGCGCACAACAGAGAGCCCTCCACTCTCCTCACCTGTGTTTAGTTTTGGGTAGTGAATTTTAAGATGGATTTTAGGCCACCTGGAAAAAGTCCAAAGGGGAATAAAAATGTAGTCTAGAAAACACGAGCTTTGAGGGAGCTTCCAAACTAAGAAGAAACAAATAATTGTGTGAGACTCTGGGAAAGAGCAAGAAAAAAGACTCTCTCCATGGTATAAGCTAGATCACAGGGATGGGAGTCAGTAGCCTACATAAGCCTAGATATCCTCTGAAAGACCATAGGCTAGCCCAGCTAGGCTCCACCTGCCATTCCAGAATGGAACAAGTGTTCTGTAGGCCCTTTGCAAGCCTCAGCAAGATGTTGCATGCATCCTACCATTTCTGAAGTGTTTCAAGACATGTCTCTCTAGACAGTAAGGTTCTCTGACATTTTGTAGGGCGGGTCTGAGGCAAGTTGGTCAGGATTCAGGCCTTCTTGCTATGTTGGTATTGGTAACCTCAATGGGGCTGGAGTTGGGGCATGAGCTTTGTCTTGTGATGGGCCATACTGCTAAAATTGTGAGCTTGGAGGATGTCCCTCATGTGACTGAGAGCCGGTCCCAGGTATTGTTCTAAAAAGGCTATTGAGACATGGCCGCTCAGTTTGGCAGGAGTTCAGATGTCTGGAGAAAGACTATCCTACGCATATGAAAGGGCTGACTGATTCTGAGGGTGAATCTTGGCCATCTCTTCTGTTCCTTAGGGAAGTCTCTCTTCGTGGATAATACCCTCCAAAGGATCCGTGCCCAGCTGGGTGATTTACCAGTGGTTCACAAAACCATTAGGCTGATGGAGTCAGAGATTGATTTCCAGTTTCTTTTGGAGGAGCTACTCTCTGTCGAGGAATTCCCGACTGAAACTCGGCCCACTGTCTTCCATATTGATGTGACGCCAGCGGTGAGAGTCTTTATCTTGGTGGTTTAATGTGGAGTGTCCAAGACCTCACAGGCTTTTTAGAGGAGGGTACTTGCACAGCTTCTTGTCCTGACGTATTCTCATCTACAGTGGTAGCAGCAGGTACTTCAAAGTAAAAGTTAACAACAAGAGCTCTGGGTACAGTCTGGAAGCTCAGGTGCCTGCCTTTGCCTTGTTCCATGCCCACACATGGGGAAGCTGTATGAAATGGATCCCATTTCATAAAAGCAATTTTTCCTCCTACAGTGGTATCAATCAGAGTGTAGGGCACTGGAGGATGGCTGAATTCAAATCAAATGATCAGACATAGAAGCCCCCATACGCAGGGAAAATGAGCAGTGGATTTTCCATCTCACATGCAGTCTGCTACCTCTCTGGAAGGGGCTTTATTTAAACAAAAGGTAGTGGGCTTAGGGCAGAGGGTGAATCCAGATGACCTAGTTCTACCTTGGAAGGCTGCAGAGCACCAAGCACCCAATCATATTGACAATTACAGCTGTCACAGCATGTGCTAGAATAGCAATCCTGCACAAGGATGGGAGCAAAACTGTAGCCTGGCTCCAGGTACTACTACCTGCCATGGGTAGCAGAGAAAGTGTGTTTTGACAGACATTTCTTTCACCAATTTTCAAATGTTTCTTCCCTGTCAGGTGTCAACAGGTCTTTACCAGCTGCTGATTGAGCTATTCATCCTCAGACACATCCTGAGTCCCAGTGGCTTGGTCTGGAAGTGCAAATCCTCTCACCTTTACTTGACTGAGTACCTGGCAAACGGGAAAGATGTTAGCCGTACAGGCAAACAAGAGGTACTGTTTTGGGGATGGTGTGCTCTAGGTCAGAGGAATAGTAAAGGAGGATCATAACATAACCAGGTCTGCACTTGCAGTAAATCTGCTGGAATACGAAGTTTCTTTTAAAGCTATGCATAATTTAAAGTCTGTCTCTCCAGTGGAGTGATGGCTCATCTACCTAGCAACAAGAAGTCCCAGCATGTGTCTACTCTGGAAACGAAATGTAAAGCACTATGCAAGGCTTGGGGGCTTTTTTCAGTCCATTCCTCGTGTAACATAGACATCCCACATATTAAAAAAATAACACAAGTCTCCCATATGAGAAATAAGGGAGAACACTCTAAAAGAGGAAATTAGGGATGTTATGGAAAGTTAGAACATCCTGAGTGTCCTGGGGAGGGTGAACAGGGAGCAAACGTCCACCATCGCTTCCAACACAAGAACTAGGTGAATCAAATAATGTTAACAAGATCAGCTTAGAACAAATTAAAAGGGGTTGATTCTTCATGGTATAGGTCATAAACCCGTGAGGGTCCTTCCCAAAGGCAGGTTGACACAGGTGCAAGGTGAGTCTGGCTAAATATTTGGAAGGGAAAGGCATTGTGTCTTTCTAACTAGAGAAAGCAGATGCAGACAGGGAGTACCCTGTGCTGAAACCTGTCTGTTTGGTAGATCATTTGGGTGGAAACAATCATGCTTGTTCTATTCTAGCTTTTCACTGGACATCCACTCAGAACCAGGACCTTACAGGTTATGGATATGTCAGTACATATCCATCTAGCAGCATGTGTGCAGCCTTGGACAAATTTGATCTACATACGATTTTCCCAACTTTCTGACCTATTTGTGTGCAGAAAAAAATAAGCTCTTGTACTGTAGGCAAATGCAGAAGTTTGGGCAACTGTCCTCATTGTAATCTGTGCAATCCTTATTTACTTTCTTTTAGATGTCCAGTGAAACAGAAGAAAAGTTTCTGGATCTTTTTCCTGCTGTGAAATGTGTATCACCGATGTGTGTACTGGACTTGCTGGAACACCCCAGCTCTGGTCGTCTTTCTGAAATGAAAGAGGAGCAGTTTGACCGAGACAAGTTAAAGAGTGAAGCTTTCCAGAGGTCTTACCAATACCTCAGCAGATATGAGAGGAAGGAAGACCTGGACAATTTCCTTTTTGTCCCTGAGAAGACTGAAGGGACAGAGAAAGAGTGCTTGAAGCTCTTACTGGAGTTCTGTGGAAGATACAACCCTTCCTGGACTGAGCTTAGCAACTTCACTCATTTCCTAAACTTCCAGCTAAGCAAGTGTGAGGAATCGGTTTTCTGTAGCCCAGCAGCTGGAAAGGATTTCCAGGGGTTTAAAACATTTGTGGTAAAATTCATGATAACCATGTCCAAGGACTTTGCTGTGCCTTCTCTTGACATCTCTGATGAAAGCGTGCGAAGTGCAGAAAATGATGCTGAGGAAAACAGCATTATGAGACAGTACCAGCTAAGACGAAAATGGGAACAAGAGTCTCACCCCTATATAGTCTTCCATCCAGAAAATGACTCTATGGAGTTCTTGGGTTTCCACATCAACAGTAATTTGGATGCTATTGATGCCTATTCTCAAGCTGTCTTGGAAAGGAATGTTATCAAAGAAAAACTATACCGCACTTTGAAAGACCAGAATGTTCCTTTCAATAAGAAGTTTGAAGACTTGCCCAGAACAATGCAGCTGGAGGTCCTCTGCAGAGTATTTGGTGTGAGCTGCATCCAAGATCCAGATGAATCATATCAGCTGACACTAGACAACACCATGAAGATGCTTGCCATTCACCTGCGGTTCCAGTGTGGGATCCCTGTAATCATCATGGGCGAAACAGGTTGTGGGAAGACAAAGCTTGTGCAGTTCATGTGCAGTCTACAAAGAGCAGGCAGGGACATTCAGAACATGGTGGTGGTACGTGTCCATGGTGGCACTACCTCCAAGACCATCCACAAGAAAGTTAGGCACGCAGTTGAGCTGGCACGCATCAATGAAGAAAAGCACAAAGTGGACACCATACTCTTTTTTGATGAAGCAAACACATCAGAAGCTATCTTTGCAATCAAAGAGGTGCTGTGTGATCACAGTGTAAATGGAGAGAAGATTCTCACTAAGAGTTTAAAAGTAGTAACTGCTTGCAACCCTTACAAAAGTCACACCAAAGAAACTGTAGAGAAACTTGAAAAAGCTGGCTTGGGGTACCTAGTCCGAAGTGAAGACACACTGGAGAAATTGGGCTACACTCCTTTGCGGCAGCTGGTGTATCGGGTCAAGCCCCTTCCACCTAGCTTATTGCCTCTTGTCTGGGATTTTGGAGAGCTGAATGAAAAGACACAGAACCTGTACATCAGAGAGATTGTAAAGTCTGCCATGAAGAACAAGATTGCCATGGGAAATTTGGACATCTTTACCAGTGTCATTTCAGCCTCTCAGAAGTTTCTCAGAAAGAAGAAAGATGAATGCAGAGTTGCCAGTCTTCGGGATATAGAGCGCTGCATGAGCATTGCGCTCTGGTTTTATAAATTAAGAGACCTGCTATTTCCTCAGATTGATAATAAGAAACACAAAAAGAAACAGGATCCAATGTTAAATGATGCACAAAGGGCCTTGATCCTTTCAGTGGGAGCTTGCTATTATGTATCTCTGGAGAGCCGCAAAGATTACCTAGAGGAGATCGCAAAATGCTTTTCTGTCCCTGCATCCCTGCTGCACCAAGAGATTGAGCTTTGTCAAGAGGTATTTCTTGATAACCTCTCTGTTAATGAGGCAATAGCCCGCAATGATGCTCTGAGGGAAAACATCTTCATGATAGTTGTATGCATGGACCTACGAGTTCCACTCTTTCTGGTTGGGAAGCCGGGAAGCTCAAAATCCTTGTCTAAAACCATTGCTGTGAATGCCATGGAGGGCAGGAGGTCCAAAAGCCAGTTGTTCAAAAGATGCAAGGAGATTCAGCTGGTGTCTTTTCAGTGCAGTCCCCATTCAAAGCCAGAAGGGATCATCTCTGTTTTCCGACAATGTGCACAGTTCCAGAAGGGGAAGAATCTGGATGAGTTTGCTTCTGTGGTCCTCCTGGATGAGATTGGTCTTGCAGAAGACTCACCAGAGATGCCACTGAAGACACTGCACCCTCTTCTTGAAGATGGATGTATTGATGATGAAAACCCAGAATCTTACCAAAAAGTTGGCTTTGTAGGCATTTCAAACTGGGCCCTAGACCCTGCCAAAATGAACAGAGGGCTTCTTGTATTTCGGACTGACCCTAGCAAAGCAGAGCTAGTGAAAACTGCAAAGGGCATCTGTGCTTCACAGCCTCACCTTGAAAGCATTGAGTATTTGTTCCCTTTGCTGGCAGAACTCTACTGCAAGGTGCTAAAAACACAAAAAAATGAGTTCTTTGGGCTCCGTGATTTCTACAGCTTGATCAAAATGATACTGTCCTATACCCAGGACAAGAAATACATCTCTCAAGAGGAGATCATTATAAAGGCCACTCAGAGAAACTTTGGAAGATGCAGTGACATCAATCCTGTCGAGCTCTTCCGTGCATCAGTGAGGTATATCTTCCCCGTCACCAGGAAACCAGCCACACACTCCGTTTGCTAAAGGAAAATATGGGCAAACAGCAGGCAGGACTCATGTCTCGATACCTCCTGCTGCTGACAACCAACCATGCAGCTTTCCACATCATCCAGATGGCATAGCTTATAGATGCTGAGAACTGTGAAATCATATTTGGCTCTGGCTTTCCACAGGATCAAGATTATTCCCAGGTATGCCGGTCTGTCAGCAGGGTGAAGATCTGCATGGAGACAGGCAGGCCTGTTGTTCTTTTAAATATACACAACCTTTACGAGAGCCTTTATGATGCACTTAACCAGTGCTTTGTTAGCCTGGGGGGAAATTACTATGTGGACCTGGGTCTTGGCACTCACAAAGTGAAGAGCCGTGTGAAGGACGAGTTCAGACTCATTGTGATAGAGGAGGAGAACATAGTCTATCTGAACTGGCAGCAGCAACAGCTGAAGCAGGACCTGCAGACCTGGGCCAGTCTGTTTGTCTCTGTTGACAGCAGCAGGTTCTCCAACATTTCGTCCACCAAGCTCAGTCCCAAGGAACAGGATGTATTCATTGGTTTCAGCAATGACACATCTGCAGCTGTTGCTTTGGAGAGCACTCGGAGCAAGTCCTGGGGAGACCTTGAGCCCTATGAAGAGTCAGTGCTCTCTGTTGCCAAAGGGAAACTTGTTCAGTGTGCAACCCCTGACTCCATCCTGCGCCTTAAATACTCCCTTTTGGAAGGTGCTGAGCAGATCCAAGACTTGTACTTCCACAAGCAGAAGCACAACAGCCTTGTCAGTGTTTTGGAAGAGACAGTCAACCGGCGGCCAAGGAAGGAGAAGACCACTGGGCTCTGTCTGCAGGTCCATGTACTTCACTGTAAAGTAATGAGAATGGTTTTTATTTTCCAGATGAGGGAGATTGCCACACAACCTCCATTAAGCTACTGGATAAGTTCCACTGTTTAACAGTGATGGGCTTCTACCTGTCCTTTTTGGTTCCTGCCCTATCAGTTGTATCACACACATGCCTGACTTCTGCCTTGTGGTCCTCTTTAGCCAGGATGCACTCTGCTTCTCCTCTTGACCTGGGTATGGTAGATCTGCTAACAGACAGGCTGTGGGTGCCAGCTTCTAACTCTGAAGACTCTGGAGGTTCATGGGTAAGATACCCAGGGCATCATTCATTGTCTGCAGACAAGTGACAAGCACCGATGCTATGGGGATCCCACCAAGCTTCCAGCAGGACTTTAGGTGGTTCTGGTAATTTTGCAGGTCCTGAATCGTGCCCACTGCCCATCTGACATCTATTTTCAGGAGCCATGCCAAGCAAAGCACCCTGATCAGTTGACCATCACAGAAGCTCAGGAACCTGTGTTGCATAAAGACACCTAAAAGAGTAGCAGTTGAATGCCCAAACAGGATCTACAGTACTGAGAGCCCACAGCTTTGGGAGAGAGTCAGCCCAGTAAAGTCACATGTGGTGACCATTGTGCTAGGCCCATAACGTTGCATGGAAAGGCTCTTCCAGTCCTCAAGGTTCAAAGTGCTCATGTACATCTCCCAGCAGGATTCCTTTGGCGTCACTGCCTCACAGCATGTGAGTCATTCCTAAAAATGCAGCTCAAGTCTAAGTCTCTTCTAGCACGAGGAATCAGGGGTTTTCTGGTTGTTAACAATGGTCCCACTCTTTTTCCCTGTAATCAGGGCACATTTCTGAGTCTTGCCATTAGGAAGCACTTGAAAAAGTCCATAAGGGAATCACTGGAATTTTCCCACCCATTAGGGATGGTAAAACAACAACTACACAATATTTTCCTGGAATTTATTTCCATTTCACTGCAGGTTTCTACACATGCAAGACTTCTAAATGAGAGAGACTTAGAAGAGATAAAGAAGACACTTAACCTTCAAAATAAAATCCACTGCCTCTTCCTAAGCCAGTTTGATACCGAATACACTTTCCGCCAGGAACTCAGGTGAGGAAAGATTTACTTCTCACCTTTGTTTGTTAATTTTATAAACTGGGAGTTTGGGGAAAGGGGGAGAGGGGGAACAGGGATAGTGGAGAACAGAAGTGGTTTTATGAACAGAACAATAACAGACTTTTTCACTGTCTGCAGGAATTATTTTGCACAATCATCAGAAGAGAAATTGCTCCTCATCCAGTTTCACTTTGATGAGCCACAGAGCAGCAAAAGGCTTCTAGCTTGTGCCAAGTAAACATCCTTCTTTCTTCCTTCTTTCTATCTGTATTTCTTTAGTCAGGTGCAAAGGTAAGGGAAGATGCAGTGGTCGAATAGCCGTGGGATATAGTGATGGCTTTAGTGACCTGTTCAGTGGAGTCTTTGCAGAGGTTCTCATGTACCTTTACGTGTATATCTGCGTGTGCACGCTTATGCCTATGTTCTGTAGCTTTAATTTCCGAGGCTGTGCTTGTGAAGATATTAAGGTAAAACATCCCTAACATCTCTGCTTTAATTAGTCTAAAAGAGCATCTTCTTTTTTCTGGGACCGTGTTTTATACTTCCTTCCCACATTAAAACCATCTTCCCCAACATGGCTGACAGCACAAACTACTCCACACAGGGCCTAACACCGGATGACTTTTTTCCCTTTAGTCATCAAGCCAAAGGACTTCAACTAACAGCTGGTGCCATTTGAGACATCCTAGGGATCCAAGACACCTCTCAGGGGTGAATGACAGGACACAGGGCCTACAGGAGACTTAAGCCCTTCTGGGGGCCATTGAGGGCTTAAGTCATTGACAGTAGCATTATATGAGATTGGTCTTAAGCCCTTGAACTACATTAGTGACACGTCTTCTGTCAGTATGATCCCTCTTACCCTCTTCTCACTCTCCTACATTTCCTTTTCATATACTTTCTTTACCATCTCAATTAATGTGCATGTTGTCTGCTGAAATTATTTGTTCTGGGTGGATTTGTGCTTTTCTAGAGAGGGACTTGAACTTTTCTGGTGCTTCTTCTAGGAAAGCTATGCTGGGTTTTGGCCAGTTTCCCCACATGTCCTGGATTGATCTGTGTTGTGGCTTTTGTTGTCTAATTTGTCTGTACATTTGTGGCAGATATTGCTAATGCTATTCCTATGATTGCCAGAAAGAACATATGATTGGGCAGAGACCCATATATATAACAAAACAAATTCAGATTAAAATAAAGATTGAGTATTCAGCAGGGAGGGAAATTTGTCATGAAAGAGCTTACTGAGGTATGTGACTGAGTCATTGCGTGGAGAGTATGTGGGGAAGATATGTGGGTGTGAGTCTTGAAGTAGCCAACACCATCGTGGTTCTTGACCTTGCTAGAGCGTGCCTGGGCTGAGCTGAGCTCCTCTTTTCCCTTTCCACCACTGTAGCGCAGCCACACCTTGAGCTGTTGGTCTTTCCGAAAGCTCTGCCTGAGCCCTGGAAATACAGGGGGTAGCTTTGGGACTCTCTGTCCAAATAGCTGAGAAAATTGACTTTTTAGCCTCTTTGTCCCACTTCCAGGTACTGTATCATAGATGAGAGAAGAAAATCAACAGGCACAAGCCCATCACATGTTGTGCTGGCCACTCAAGTCCCACGAGTTCTGGGAGGCTGCAGCTACCTGGCATTTGACAGTGGTAAGGTTGAAATTGCTATTTTGCATCAGGGAGAGTGTGGGAGGGAAAGGAGAGGTTGTGTAAGGGCAAGAAGAAGGATCCAGGGAACCACAGACCAGATAGCCTCACTTTGATCCCTGGAAAGATGATGCAGCAAATAATCCCGGAAACCTTTTCCAAACACATGAAAATCAGTAAGTCGACATGGATTTCTGAATGTGAAATTGAGTTTAACCAACCTGGTAACCTTCTATGATGAGATGACTGGCTTGGAGGATGAGAAGAGAATGGCTTTATCTTGACTTTCATAAGGCTTTTGACACTGTCTTAATAACATCCTCACTGACAAACTATTAAAGATGGACTAGATAAATGGACAGTGAGTTGGACTAACAAGTAGCTGAACTGCTGCACTTAGGAGGTTTTTCTCAACAGAACAAAGTCCAGCTGGACACCAGTCACTAGTGGTGTTACCTCAAGGATTGATACTGGGGCCAGTGCCGTTTAACATCTTCATTGATGACCTGGATGATGGGACAGAGTGTACCTTCAGTAAGTCTGCTGATGATACAAAACTGTGAGGAGTGCCTGATATACCAGAGGGTCATGCTGCCATCCTAAGGAACCTGGACAGGCTGGACAAATGGACTGATGGAAACCTCATGAAGTTCAACAGAGGGAAATGCAAAGTCCTGCATCTATAGAGAAATAACACCAGGCACCAGTACAGGCTGGGTGCTGACCAGCTGGAAAGTGGCTTCGCAGAGAAGGACCTGGTGATCCTGGTGGAATCAAGTTTAAGATAAGCTAGCAACATGTCTTTGTGGCAAAGAAGGCTAACATAGACTTCATCAGGCAGAGTGCTTCTAGCAGGTTGAGGAAGGTGATCCTTCCCCTCTACTCAGCACTGGTGAGGCTACACCTGGATTACTGTGTCCATTTCTGTCCTTCCCAGTATAAAAGAGACACAGACTTGCTGGAGCAAGCCCAGTGAAGGGCCACAAAGATGGTTAGGGGACTGGTGCATCTTTTATATGAGGAGAGGCTGAGGCAGTTGAGACAGTTCAGTCTGGAGAAGAGAAGGTTCGTGGGATCTTATCACTGTGTATATGTACATGATGGTGGGCCTAAAGAAGATGGAGCCAGACGCTCCAGTGGTGTCACATGGCAGGACAAGAGGCAATGGGCACAGACTGAAATACAAGAAATTCCATTCAAACATAAGAAAAAACTTCTTTATGTTGAAGGTGGTCAAACAACTTTTGGGTTATAGGATCATTTTCTTCCCTAGTTATTGGATGAGAATGACAGTTAGGGCATTTTTGCCCATTTGTACTAGCAAGAAGGAGAGGGGAGAGCAGAATGAAATAAGTGAAGTGTGTACTCCCTCCGATCAGAAAGGAACAGGAGGTGGTAAATTTTCCATCTCTCAATATCTTTGTTATCCAGGCGGCTGGCTGGTAGGTTAGGGGAGCCAAAGTTTACTGATTTTTCTGGATGGGTGTGGTGTGCACAAAGGAGAGCAGGTCAACTGCTCACAGCAGTTATGTAAGGTACTACTGTTCCTGTCATGCTTACTGCCTCCCCAGGTGAATGGATGTCAATCCACCTGGATGATCTGATGCCTCCAGACAACTTTACAGCCAATCTAGGCCAGCTCGCCAAAATGACTATTGCTGACATTTTCATGACCGCTTTCCAGGGACGTCTCCCGACAGGTAACCAGCCACTACCTGCACAGCTCTGTCCTTTCCTCTGTCTCCCATTTACTCCACCTACAGCTTCAAGTAGAGCTAGATGAAGTGGTCTGTGGAGGCACTGGCTTTGGGTCTCAGCAGGACTTCCTGCATTTGCTGTTTCTGCAGTCCTCACAGCACTGCATTTTTTTCCTCCTGGTCTACAAGTTGTGACTGCAGGGTAGCAGGGTACCTAAGCTAGTTCTTCAGTTACAGTTGCAAATTGGATGTACTGATGTGGCATTCAGCATACAGTAAACACACTTATTCACTCTGATTCCCAGCAAGTCTTTCTGCCCTCCATGACCAAATAAAACCACTAAATATTCCTGATCTGGTGAGTTCAAAGCCAACGCAATACATCCCTGCCATTGTTTTCAGGATGTATGGACAAAGGGAGCAGCTGGGTAAAGTGGTCCCCACCCTATGAACGAGAGCAGCTGGGGAGGGAGTCCATTTCCTGTGCTGACACCCGCTTTTCCTACGAGTCCCAACCAAAACTGAGATCTAGTTACTGGGCATTTCTCCCCAGATGGGACAAAGCCTGGGTTGAAATTTCTTAGATTGATAGCTTTGCAACTTTTCATTGATTGTGAAGAGACTCCAGATGGTTCCTTTGGACAGAAGTGTCTATTTTTCAGGTTTCTACATTTTTTACAAATGAGTCTTATGAGTGATTGTGATTTCAGGTTCTCCAGAAGAGTCTTCTGCTCCTGAAGATCCAGCCAAATCCAGTCTTTTTCCAGAAGGAAATGTATGATTTATTTCTTTTTTCTTATTTCAGCTGCCTGACATTACGTGGGAACTGGTTTAGGAAACAATAGATTTCATAGGCTTTTAGGGATCCAGTTATGCTGGTCACTGGTTCAGATAGTACATATGCCACAGGAAAAAAAGTAGTTGCAGGTCTTTGTGAATTACACAGTGAGGGTAAAGTGGTCCCCACCCTATGACAGACCAGCACAAGGCCAGAATAAGGCCGTTTAAGCCTATTGTGAACTTTGACAAAGCATGAAATCTCTTTCCCCATTTCTCCATCCCTTGCCAGGGCTTTTAGCACTTCTCTGCAATGTTTGGATTGATTTACTAGGGATGGGATGGCAAAGTAGACATATACCTGGCAGTCCATTGTGTCAAGTTCAGTAGGAATTGAGGGAGCAAATGCAATGGAGTGTTAGGCGACTTACAGACCTCCAATCTTATCCATTCCCAGCTCCTCAGCATCGACTCTATCATCAAACAGAGCATCCAGAAAGCTGTGATCCAGCTGGAAGACAAGACAGATAACAGTCGGCGTGCCACTGAGAGAATCATGATCATTCATAACTTGCTTTTCCAGGGTCACAGTAGAACCACATGTGAGTACAAATCATGGCCCAGAGTGGGTTAGCAGTTTTTATTTACATATGGCTGCATCTTGCACATTGCAAACCATGGAACAGGGGAAATTAAATGAGTGGTTTAATGATCTGTCCTGGTGCCTGTCTAGGCCAGTATAGGGGGAGGTCCCAAAGGAGAGAGGACTAGGATTGCTCAGGGCCTCTTCTGCTCTCCATGCACCCCATGTTGTGTGTTCTCAGAGTCTGAAACATCCAGATTTTTGCATGACCTTTGATGAAGTCCTTGGTAAAAAATCTGAGGCAAAGGTCACTTTATACTCTCCTGACTATTTTGGAGTCTAAAGCCACCCAATTGATTTCTACACAGAATTGATACAAATTATTTGTGGAAGTGATGTGGTGCCTTGATAGAAAACTGTGGCTTTAGCAAAATGCAAAGTGTCTGGTTTCATCATAAATCAAGCGCCAAAATCTTTGTAGGTGCATTTGGAAATTATTTTTTCCTGCAAATGGAAAGACTTTGTCACCATGGTGCATGATTTGCTCTTGATTGAGCAATAGGTTCCTGTCAGGTGCCTAGGATGTTTGTTAATGACTGAAAAAGAGAAGAGACTATGTTGCCACTTCAAAGATGTGATGGATCTGGGAAGTCCTTGCAATCATATGGTAAAACCAGAATTTAGTCTGCACTAAATTTTGGCTATAAGAAAATGTCCCTCAGGAAAAGATATTTTCTTGTGCTTGCATAGTGACACTTTCATTCCTCAGCACAATATAGAACAAATATTGCTTGTGGTTATATCAGTACTGAAAAGGAAACAATTCCATCATTTTTAATTTATATTGATACTAGTGTCATACCAATAAGAACAGAGTGTCAACTCTTCTGCAGCACTGTGACTATTCCTGTGACATACAATACTAAACATTTCTCCATATCAACATGAATATGAGAGTATTTATACACCAAATAATTTAATTCATACAATTATTTTTAAAAGACTGTGACAGAAAAAAGTGGATTTTCTTTCCTCCATCAAAAATAGCATGCCTTTACTAAATGTTGCCCCCAAAATCAACTCAGTAGCAACAAAGAGGAAAGGCAAGAGACTAGGGTAGAATATAAAGCCCCTGGTTTTTATAGTGGAGGAAACACAAGAACTTAAGTAGAGGTGTCTTTCTATGACTGGCTTTTCTTTAAAAACTTTGCATGGGAACCCCTTTTGTTCACAGGTTCTAATAAACATTGGTTTATAATTAGTTTCTAGTCATTTTATGAATGTGCTGAAAGTGCGAATTTGCCACCTCCTACAAGAACGTGAGAAAATAAGCTTTGAGCCAAGGGAGTGGATTTTCCGCAGAGCTGTCTCCAGTGAGTTCATCCTTGAAGATACTTCATTCAGGTACTTATATCTGTGCATCCCTTCCCAAATTTCTAACAGGTCTGTTTCTGAGAGCATTAAAAGAGCTGTAGTGTGTGAAGCACAATACTTGAAGGGTTTCAGACGTGAAAACCAGGAGGTATATTGCTCTCTGGTATATAGACGTAGATGTGAGTTTCTGATGAATAGGGGATTGGTCAGGTACAAAGTAGACATTTGACAGGCCATGTTATCGCTTCTAGGCGTGCGCTCTGGATGCATTTAGAAGACATTGTGGCCAATCTGTTTGCTCAAATTCTCGCAGTGGTGGATGCAAACAACAACCTGGATCATCTCTCTCCACTGTCTCCATTTTCAGAACTGTGGCTTCAGATGTTCCAAGAAGAATCATTCTTGAGAATTAAATATACCAGCAAGTAAGAGACTTGGTGGAAAAATACAGTATGTACATTAGGAGAATAAAAACCTGCTTTCATAATGCAACCCTCTGCAGAAAGAGAGAATAAAACAAGAAGTCTGAAGTTAAGATAAGCTCACACAGCTCATAACTTATCCTTGATAAGTCCTTTGTGTCACAACATTTGAATCGGAATCTTCCTGACCTCTTAAACCTTCAGCAGCTTAGAAACATTACCAAGACTCCAGTTCTTTGGAACAGCATTTAACACAGCGTAACATCAGAAACATTGTTCAGAATTTAGAAACTTGAATTTGAGTTCCCTAAGGTCAGAGCAGATGAATCCCTTCCCCAGCACAAAATACATTTAGTGTCCAACTATCACATTTTAACTGTTCAGTCAGCTTACTCTGAACAGCAGCTGTGGTCAGAGACAAGACAGATGTTGTCTGACTCAGCTGCCTTTCCCCTGCTGCAGTCTTTTCCAGCCTTCAGCTCCCAGTGACAGGAACATTTTCTGCTCCTGCCTTGTTTGCAGTGTTGCTGAGTTTATTTATAAAATATCTTTCTGTGCTTTTTAACCTTTTAAGCAGAACATATACCAGTGGCAGTCAGGAATTTCTCTGATGCTTCAGTTCAGTACAGATAGAGCATATTACATGATTGCTTCGTTCTGTGCCATTTAAGGAAACAAGATTCTAAGATTTCCGTGTTGTCAATGACTGAAGACCCGAACACATCTGTTTTTTGCCAGTTCCCATTCAGCTGGGTTTTGAAGGCCTACCTGGAGCAACTGTGGGAGAGAGTCTATAATATGAAAGGTAACATCAGACTTTTCAAGCAGGTATTGTTCTTTAACCCACGGAAGAAGATCTCAAAAGTTTGCCACAATAGCCAAAGGTTGTGGTAGGAGCAACCATAGCAGTTCTGTTCCCCATGTAACCATAATGACCTAGAACATTGGTGGTGCACTCCTGTTTTCCTGTCAACTTCTATTTTCTGTTTACCTGACACCTCTGTCCTTTCCTCTAGGTCATCCAAAAGTGCCAATGAAGGAACCAGCCAAATTGTTCCAAGCACTAATCAAGAATGTGTTGCCGCCAGATGGCAGTAATCCAGAGATGATGCAGTGTTACACGAATGACTTTCTAAGGATGACTTTTCCTGGGCAAGATATTTCTGTCTATGAGGTAAATGGGGTTTGGTGGAGTACAGGCTTTAAATGGCACTGGCTTGAGTCACAGTGCTGCAGATATCTATGGTTCCAAGAACCGGGGAAAAAAATTAGCTGCTCCTCTTCTGCACACTTCCCAACAACTGTTGGTGCTCAGTCTTAATTCCACCTTAAGAAAAATTTTTTTGATGGAGAAGGTTGACTGGACTGCTTCAGCAATGCTGAATGCCATTCTCAGTCCCCTGCTGTTTGTCTGGAGCAGAAATAACACCTTTCATTTTACCTGCAGATTCTGTCAAAAGCTCTTCTAGTCAATGCGAAACAGCTCTGCTTCTCTGTGGGGCAGGAGGAGATGAGCTTTTCCCCCATTTGGCTTCATATGGAATATTTCTACCTACGAGAGGAATATCAACTCTTTGTAGACTTGGTAAAAAGTGATGAGACTGTAACAAGCGAGCTGCAAAAGATGTATGAGAAGGACCCGCCAGAAATGGTGAGCAAAAGGGAACAGCTGGTGTTTTGCAGAGCAAAATGACACAGCCTGCTACTAACAATGGTCATGAGCAAATACTCAATGAAAGTGTGTAAGAAAAGAGTCAAGACTTAAGGGGATCATTCCTTGGAAGTATTTTCCAGCTTCCAGTAAGTCTTAGGGAGTTTTTGAGATAGTGGTCATACCCAGCTCATTCATACAAATATAGAATGGTTTGTGATGCAAGGGACCTACGGCTCATGTAGTTCCAACTCTCCTGCCATGGCCAGGGACACCTTCCACTAGACTACATTGCTCAAAGCCCCATCCAACCTGGGCTTAAACACTTCCAGGGAAGGGGCATCCACAAATTCTCTGGGCAACCTGTTCCAGTGTTTCACCACCCTCACAGTAAAGAATTTCTTCTTTATATCTAATCTGTGTCTATGCTCTTTCAGATTAAAAACATTACCCCTTGTCTTATCACTACAGGCCCTTGCAAAAAGTTCCTCTCCCACTTTCTTGTAGGTCCCCTTCAGTTACTAGAAAGCTGCTATAATATGTCCCCAGACCCTCCTCTTCTCCAGGCTGAACAGCCCCAACTCTCTCAGCCTTTCCTCATAGGAAAGATGTTCCAAACCTCTGATCATTTTTGTGGCCCTCCTTTGACTCATTCCAACAGGTCCATGTCTTTCTTATGTTGGGGGCCACAGAGCTGAACGCAGGACTCCAGGTGGAGTCTCACCAGAGCAGAGCAGATGGGCAGAATCACCTCCCTCGACATGCTCGCCATGCTTATTTTGATGCAACCCAGGATATGGTTGGCTTTCTGGGCTGCGAGTGTACACTGCCAGGTCACGTTGAGTTTCTTGTCAACCAGCACCCCCAAGTCCTTCTCCTCAGGGCTGCGCTCAATCCATTTGCTGCCCAGCCTGTATTTATGATTGGGATTGCCCAGACCCAGGTGCAGCACCTTGCACTTGGCCTTGCTGAACTTCATGAGGTTTGCATAGACCCGCCTCTCAAGTCTGTAAAGGTCCCCCTCTAGATGGAATCCCTTCCCTCCAGCATGTAAATCACACCACACAGCTTGGTGTTGTCCGCAAACTTGCTGAGGGTGCACTCAATCCCACTGTCCATGTTGCTGGCAAAGATGTTAAACAGCACTGGTCCCAACATCAACCTCTGAGGAACACCACTCGTCACTGGTTTCCACTTGGACATTGAGCTGTTGACCATGAACCTTAGAGTATGACCATCCAGCCAATTCCTTATCCACCAAGTAGTCCATCCATCAAATCCATGTCTTTCCAATTTAGAGACAAGGATGTCCTGTGGGACAGTGCCAAATGATTTGCTCAAGTCTAGGTAGATGACATCAGTTGCTCTTCCCTTATCCACCAATGCAGTTACCCCACCATAGAAGGCCACCAAATCTGTCAGGCATGATCTGTTGTTAGTGAAGCCATGTTGGCTGACACCAATCATCTCCTTATTTTCCATGTGCCTTACCATAGTTTCCGGGAGGATCTGCTCCGTGATTTTGCCAGGCACAGAGGTGAGACTGACTGGCCTGTAGTTCTCCGAGTCTCACTTTTTTCCCTTTTTTAAAATGGGGGTTATGTTTTCCCTTTTCCAATCAATGGGAACTTCACTGGACTGCCATGACTTTTCAGATATGATGGATAATGGCTTAACAACTTCATCCGCCAGTTCCTTCAGGACCCGCGGATGCACCTCGTCAGGTCCCGTGGACTTGTGCACCTTCAGGTTCCTTAGATGGTCTCAAACCTGATCTTCCCCACCAAAGGACCTGTGCTTCATCCTTCTCTAACCATTTTTTAATTCCATTTATACTTTTTGGTCTTCAAAACTTCCATAATTTAGTCTGCACTGTGTAGAAACCTGTTACGCATCCTTTTGCTTGTGTTGTTCTGGGAATGACATTCATCACTTCTTAGACGGGCAGACATTATAGGTGATGGTCGCAGTATTTAACTTCTGGGCTGGGGTCTAAGTTTGGATTCAGGCACTGTAGCTTATATGTCTGCAGGTATGTGTCTACATTTGCAATGGTCATCTGATCTGCTGTGATTGCTAGGGAAAACATAGGGTTTAGAGACAGTGGAGAGTGACTCACGACTGAAGGGAGGGGTGCAGATCAGTTGCCCACGAGTAGGCACCTGCTGACATTTCAGGTGCTGTCAGCCTCAAGCTCCTGCTGCAGTAGGGCATGGAGTTTCCTGTAGGCCTTGTGCCCTATCTGCCAGCTACATATAGATGTCTCAGAGATTCAAAGGCATTTCAACCGACAGCACAGACCTACAGTAGGGCAACTGAATCCCACCTAAATATTTAAGTCTTTCCAAAGAACAAGCCATTCAACAATCCTAAACGTCTCTCTGTAAAATGGAAGAACTGTTCTTTGGAGTACCTTTTTCTCCCTCCTGAACACCAAGGGGACTGAAGGCAACAAGCTTAGAATCTTAGAGCTGAAAGTTTAACTGTGGAGGGAAACCAGTGCTCTGATTCAAGTATTCAAACAGTATTCAAGACACAAGTGCAACACAGTGTTGTACTGTGGTACAGTTATGGATTCTGTCCTGTTCTCACTTCCCTACCTAATGAATTTCTCCTCTGGTATTTGTTGCTGTGTGCACCAAGCTAAGGTTTTCAAAGAATTCCTCATCACAGCCTCCAAAGCTGTTTTTTTTTTTTTTTTTTCACCAAGGTGCAATGGGTCTAGGTCATCTATAAAAGCTTCTTTTTTCTTCTCTCTTTTTAAATATAATTTCAGTTTGTCACTCTTGACACCTTGAACATTCTCCTGAAGAAAGTGCAGCCCACAGACAATCTTCTGTCGTTTGAGGGCTGTAAAGAATGGCTTAGAAGGGTCAAGTCCATTAAGCCCTGGATGCAGTGGATCAGTACGGACAACTACCAGATTCATCTTTACCAGAAGAAAAGGGAACTCCTGAGGCGTGTGTTGTAAGTCCGACCCTTCTCAACAAGCTTATCTTCGTCTTTCAAGTAAAAAGTCCTCTTTCAGACAAGCCAGTTTTTTTTCCTTCAAGTTGTTGTCATGTGTTCACCAAAAGATTCTGCCAGCTCCCACCAAAAGATTTGAAAACTAAAATGTTTGAAGCTTAATAATACAGTCTGTGGAGAACAATTGCTGATAGCCTACCCTTTTACTCTGGAGTTCCTAATTCAGTGTTTCAATGAACAGAAAGACTTCAGCCAAATGTCTGGGGCCTTACCTCGCCTCTTCTATGAGCTTGGTGCCTACAATGTGAGCTTAATCCATCCTTTCTTTGGGAACCCATAGTAATTAGTTTGATAATCTTGATCCCTGAATCTATTGGCTCCTTTGTAATCCTTTGCTCATTCTGTTGTCTGGTTATCACAAAAGTATTGGCAAATTCACTCCAAAAAGCTGTGTTAAGAACTACGCATTTTGATCACGGTCATGCACCCTTCATTCCTTGACAATAAGACCTATTTTCCTGAACATCTGACTGCATGCTTGACCATGCCCAGGATGCTTGCTGTAGTAGATCAGATATCTCCATAGACAAAACCCAGTAATGACTCAATAACTCAGTTTGGTCTGGGGACACTCCAGCAAGTGAGGTAGAAAGGACCATGCCATATTTTTCTCTCCTTGTTTAGTCTAGTCCTCCAAAGCCAGCTCAAGAGGTCTTGTGTCCTCAAATAATCTCACAGTACCTGGGACCTGTCATAGAAATCTTGGTTGGAAGCGACCTCAGAGGTCTGTAGGCCAACCTCCCACTTAAAATTGCATCATTGACAACAGTAAAGTAGGTCACCTCTGGCTTTCAGTGGCAAGTCTTGAAGCTTTTTTCAACATCCCTGTGTGTGTGTTTTCCAGACATCAATGGACCTGCACCAACATTGTCTACATGTTCTTTGACCACCTGCTGCACAATGAGACACAGATAGATGAGAAGCTTCTGAGACTTCTTGTGAAGCAGTTCATCTTCACCTGGAATGTATGTGCTCAGTGTAGCTCTTGCCTGGACAACTGATAGCCTTAGAGACCAGCAGAGTTTGGAAGGAGCCTTATCTTCCAGAGATTCCTCTGGCTCCAGTGTGAGGGAGGACATAGAAATAGGAAGAGGGTGGGAAGAGGGTGGAAACACCATCCAGCACAAAAAACACTGAGATTTCAGAATCATCATGAAAGCACCCCAAAATCAGAATTTTATTTAAAATAAGGTTTGCTTGAAAGCTTAAGACGTATTTCAGGCCAATTATAGCTGGCATTACATGAGCAAAGTTGCTTGGTGGGTCTGTTTGACTTTGGTGTTTTATTATGTGATTTTGTGGTGCTGACATCCCATATTGTTCGTCTTTCATATGCCAAGAAGATACTTCCATTAAGCTTTCACTATCCTTTCTTTCCTACAGCGTCTGACTGAAACGCAAAATTTTGAGCCAGCAGAAAGTTTTGAGTTGGTGACAAAAGTGCTCAAGAAATGCAACCAAAATGCTGACACTGTGTACCTTGTGTAAGTCCATGCCAAAAAAAAAAAAAAAGGCAAGCTGTTCTGGGGACATTTTACATCAAAACCATTTTTTGAAAGGCATGGGCTAAGATTGTTACTAGTCAATGGGGATGAATCTCCACAGGCCAAAGGATTCCCCCCAGAGACTCCTACTGTCAGGACATGTAACACCCAACCTCAGAAGGCCATCGAACAAAGTCTTAGTCTTCCCTGTGCAGTGTTGTGCCTGGCTGGTGACAGAGACAACCCTGGAACTGAATCTGGTGTAACTGATGTAGGTACCCACAGGCCTAGTGAGACCTTGAATAAGGCCCACCCCCTTCACCCAGCCACGCTTAGCATGACAGGCCACATGTCTTAGATGGGATGGTCCTTGGTGGAGCCACTCCATTATTAAACTAGTAGATGTTGCTCTTATTTCTCTGCTTGCAAGTAAGGCTAGTTAAAAAAGACCATCCAGTTTTGATGCCCACAGCAAACACTTGATGTGAGGATCCCACACCCACCCTCAAGTCTGGCACCAGTGTAAAATCAGCTGTTAGTTGTGTCTTCCTTTGGTGGCATCTTTCAGGAAAGGTGTGAAGGACTGCAAGAGCTGTCTACTGGAGATCACCGACCCAGCAGAGCTGCCCTGTGGTCACATTTTCTGCTCGCAGTGCATCTGTGAGTGGAGAAGCAAGCAGTGTAAGATCTGCAAGAATAACTTCCCAGAGGATTATACACCCACAGCTACAGCAGCCACAAGGTATCCTGTAACTAGTAAAACAACTAGTTTTGTTGTTTCAGTCTCTATCACTTCGTATGAAACACTGGAATAGTTACCAGAGTAGAGGCTACACAAATGTCATTAACACGTGAGCTCCATGGAAATGTCAGTATTTACCATGTGTAGCAAACCTTTGGTGGTGCAAGTATTCACGTGAGTGATCTGGGGTAAATTCTAGCCCTTTTACTTCCATCTCAACAGGACGTCTATCCAGGCATACATACTACATAAGAATCCATTTTCCTTTTTTCTCTAGCTATTTTGAGTGGAGATAGGAAAGAGGGAGAGCACAGGGGAAGAAGAAAGTTTGTCCTCAGTATTCAAGAAAAAATGCTGTAGTGGGTTTTATGGGAGTCAATTTCCCTTTCTATTTAAAAAGTGTAGTTCTCTACAGTTTAGGTGTACTTGGTCTCCTGGTCACATTCAGAGAAGCAGAAAACCATAGAACCATAGAATTATTAAGGTTGGAAAAGACCTCTAGGATCATGAAGTCCAACTGTCAACCCAACACCACCAAGCTTGCTAAACCATATCCTGAAGTGCCACATCTACCCTTTTTTTGAACACCTCCAAGGATGGTGACTCCACCACTTCCCTGGGCAGCCTGTTCCAATGTTCGACCACTTTTTCAGTAAAGAAATTTTTCCTAATATCCAATCTAAACCTCCAATGGCACAACTTCAGGCCATTTCCTGTCGTCCTATCACTAGTTACTTAGAAGAAGAGACCAACACCTGCCTCCCTACAACCTCCTTTCAGGTAGTTGTAGAGAGCAATAAAGTCTTCCCTCAGCCTCCTATTTTCCAGACTAAACAACCCCAGTTTCCTCAGCCAGTCCTCATAAGACTTGTTCTCTAGACCCCTCACCAGCCTCGTTGCCCTTCTCTGGACACGCTCCAACACCTCAATGTTCTTCTTGTAGTGAGGAGCCCAAAACTGAACTCAGTATTCGAGGCACGGCCTCACCAGTGCCGAGTGCAGGAACATGATCACCTCCCTACTCCTGCTGGCCACACTATTCCTGATACAAAGAGAAGTTGTTGCTTTGCTTTGTTGCATCTTGATGGTAGATCTTGATTTTATTCCCCCCTACAGGGAAGCTGTTGCATGTCACAACAAATTCAGGAGGAAATGTAACTCCTTCTTTGTGGAGTTTGTCACCACTTCCGTCTTGGGAGACAGAGACCCACCATCCCCAAAAGTCATCACTCAGCTAATCCAGTTTGTGGCCCGCAAGCCACCCAGCCCTGAGCACCAGACAGTAAAAAGGGGTAAGAGCCTGACCTCACTGGGACAGTGACCTGATCTTGTACTGAAGGAAAGTAATGAATGTCATCCTTCATTTTTAGTGTGCAAGTCAAAAAGTGAGCTGTCACCTTTTGAAGAGTGCATGGACACCAGTCCAACAATCAAGTCCTCCCTCTTGAAACTGCTCCTGCGACATGGGTTAGCATGAGCTAGCTCCCAGCCTGATCACTGAGACACAGGGGCTACATGGATGCTCACATTCTATCTCTTTTTTTGTCACAGGTTCAACAACATAAAGGTTCACCTGGAAGAATACCTTTCTGAGATGGAGGAAAAGATAACCTTCAACAAAAGGAACTGGAACCATTTCAACTTCATGGTTGTGCATTGTCTGGAGGTAAGTGCAAATATCCTTGAGATGTTCCTGGAATCCACATTCAAACTAACCATCATTTCCTGTCATGCCCTTTGCAGGTCACACTCTTCTCTCTCTTTCCCCTCAATGGATTCTGAGGCTGTCTGGAATTGGCTGCTGACCTCCTTTGGTTATGTGCCTAAGTGTAGTCTGGAAGAACCCAGGCCTGAATTAATAGGGTCCAGTTACAGTCTGAATTTCAGAGCTGGAGCTCCTGGAGGACAGGAGTGCCCATTGCCTGATTTGTAAGCCACAAGCGCCTCCCTTGAGCACAGCTGATACTCTAAGCAGAACTGCCCCGGGTCTTTGTTTCACTTTGAACTGGTGCACTACAGATATGCACAAGCATCTCTTCATCATGTGATTCTCCACCAAGTGAATCATGGAGGCAGTCCTCTCTTGCTAGAGAAGCAGAGTTGGGGCTACCCTCAGAGGTGATGAAAAATAGTCCACCTGCAAAGCAGGTCATTGCTGGGGACTTGAGATTCACAGGCTACAGCATCACAGCAGAAATGAGCTCTGCACCTTGTGAAAAGGCTTAGGAAAGAAGAAGGGACTACCCAGAACTTATGGCAGCTTTGGACTCCTAACTTTTCCTCTCTCCTTTTCTGTTGAACAGGATTTTCTGTATCCTTCTTCACAAGAAGATATCAGCCAGCTTGCTGAAAGCTGCCTCTCTACTGCAGACCTTTCTGCTTTGTGCTCACAGAAGGCCTCAAAAATTGACACCCTCCAGTTCATAGCCCGTCTCCGTTTCTCCATCAGCCACGTGGCCACTGTGCTTGGCAGACGGGTGCTCTGTGGTGAGTTCTTCTGCTAGCAGTGGAGAGCATGAGATATGTGTTTTCTCATAAGCAGATTTAGAACAAGCCAAACATTTCCTAGTACAGGAGGTTTCTTCTGAAAAAACAAAAGGGAAAAAGAAGAGGAAAAAAACACAAGGTTTTGTCTAAATTTAAGGGGTTTAACAGACAATTTTTCAAGAGGTGATTTAGGATCAAAGGGCTAATTTATTTCTTTTAAATCTAGATAATTTTTAACCCTCTTGTTCTGATAGTGTAAAACTATTTTTTGCAGCATTGAAACTGAACGGGGTTAAAGTTGCTAAATGTTGTATATAATCAGGTTGCATCCAAAGATGTGCACCCAAAATGTATATATTACCTAGAACTTGCTCTGAAACCATTTTCATTTTTCTGGATTATTTTCTCAGTATTGAAACATCTAATTTTTGTTCAGAGTTAAACTTACTTGAATATTGGCATTTCATCTGAAAGAATAATTCTCCAGGCTTAATGGGTGGTGTGCAGCAGTGTATCATGATAGTCATTTAGGTGTCTACAGGTAGGTGCATGTGCTTGGGCTCTGTTTTCCAATTAGTCTGTGAGAATGACAAGCAGAGTCAATGCAGTTAACACTGAACACATGTGAGTCTTTTGGTTTAGCAGAGGATGTATTGCACCTTAAATTCTGTTGATTCACTTCCTTACATCTTTGTCAGCTTTGAAGCGTGTCCAAGTAAAGTCTGAGTAAAGAGACCAACACAATCTTACCTCAACCCATATAATCAATGGAGATACAGGAGACCTTTTATAAGGCTGAGATATAAAATAGCCCAGAGGATTCCCACTTCTCTCAGCAACCTAGAACACAGCCATGAGATTGCTCTCTACCTTCTGGACAGCCTTTGAGAGCTTTCCTTTCTGACCTAAGATAGATGCTAGAGAAGATTACCTGACCATGATCCTATATGGGCCAAAAATGGGAAAACAGTGGGCCATTCACTCCCCATATTCATTGCCTAGTATTCTACTTCCCTCCATGCTGTAGGTGTTAAGAAGCCCCAGATACTATGGTTGTAGGCCATATTTCTACTCTTAGTGAAAAAGTGTTTTTGCAACCTAAGCATGTAGTATGCTTGTAAAAACGATCTATGATACATGACTGCATGGGAGTGAACCTAATGGGAAATCTCACTGGTAGCTGCAGATCCGAACATACCATCTCCTGGTGGGAACAAGCAAGAAGAGCAAGACCTGGTGAATGCAATGAAGAAACTGGTTGCAAATGCACAGACACCATGGCCTCAAATATTCCTCATTAGAAATCTCTATCACAGCTATGGGTTCGTCCCAATGCAGAAGATCCTTCAAGAAGAAAAATGGATTTTACCCAGAGGGGTTGAAATTTCACAGGTGAGTATATTCCAAAAGCCCATCTACAGGTCACTGAATTTGTGCCACCCAAGCATACACATGTACACTGGCTTGCCTTTGCAGACAGGTCTGAGGGTGTACAACTGGCTAATTTGAGCCTTGCCTGGTGAAATATAACTTGTATTGTAGCCTGTGTAGCCAATGGGATAGTATTCACCCAACTAAAGTAATGAAAAATTGCTTTGAGGGGCTTTCTTCCAGTCTGGGGAGAGATACAAGCTCCTCTAGCAAACAATCATCCATCCTTCATACCTGCTTAGCATGTGACTGTTCCCCTCGAAGGACCTATTTATGTATTTGGAAGATTGCAGAAATGAAACAACTGCACAGCAAAATTCAAACAGAACCAATTTCGGCGAAGCTACTGAAGGTGAACGGTTCTGGAGCAGAGGCTCGCGCCGAGGGACCCTTTCTCCGGTGGCAAAACCGCAGCGGCGAGGCGGCAAAAAGCGCGGAG